ACACTTTTGACTATCCATGATAGAGTTGTTGGCTTTAGATGCTTATTTGTGCATTCATGCCACATCAAGTCGTGCAATCTGACTCCTTGGCCATCATGCATCGGGATGCACGATTGGTGGTCCGAGGATCGAGGGTTACACTCCCTAGAGCCTATGCTATGACGGGGAGAGTGGTTGAGCACACATTTGTTGAAAATACCTTGCCATGCCTCCTTATTGCTTTGTGTTGCAGAAAACCAGGATCCAGGGGCAGAAAGTGGTCGGCCGACCAGGTTTTTTGGCAGGCCGACCACCTTTTTTGGTCTCCACCACAAAGGGTGGTCGGTAGGTGGTCTCCAATGCCATTGGCTGGTCGCCTTCAGCATTTGTGTCTGTTCTAGATTCTCCATCATAGCTCTGTAAAGCTAGTGTTCCACTGCCATGCTATCAGGGCATTAGTTGTGGCAGTTAGATAGTTTGTTATCAAGTTAGTTTGTTAGTTTGTTAAGTTTGTTTAGAGTTAGTTTAGATATTTTGATTACCAGTATATAACAAGGTGTAAGCTACAGTATTCCTTTAATTAAAATCAGTTTTCAAGATTCTCAATATGGTATCAGAGCTGTAAGCTCTCGTGAGCAAGATCCTCAGTCTTTCAATGGCAGATGCTTCGTTACCTCCAAATCTCAGTTTACTAATTTCAAATTTCAATTCTCTCATCACAATGAAGCTTGAGTCAAACAATTTCATCATATGAAAATCACAGATGACAAATGTGCTTCGAGCATCTGGATTTCTTGATCATGTAAATGGATCTCATCCATGTCCATGTTTAGAAATCATTGATGATTCTGGAAAAACCATGAGGCTAACTGCTTATGTGATATAACTGCCTGAATGCCTGTGGGTGGAGGTTGGGTTATTTGAATTGGAACAATGCATTGAATGCGAATTTTAAGCCCACTTGAGAGTGGCAAAATCATGTTTTCTAAGCTCACTTGAGAGTGGCAAAATCCGCATTTTAGCCTACTTGCGAGTAGCAAATCGCTTTTAAAAACAAACATGAGATGTTTTGTTCTAATTTAGGCGACCCAGTCTATATTTGTATGCTGTGCGCATCACATATTAATTCTAGGCTAATAACCGTAATAAGAGCACATAATGTTTTCAAAACTCGATATCATGGTTAGTAGAGGCCGATCTTTGATCGGGCGAGCGGGGGTGCTCACGAAGTGACCTTCCCCAATCGTACCCAAGTTCCCGAGCCGAGGCAACTTTGGTGATGACGGACACGTGGCCTTAGGCACGAGTCAGGGTTTCCTAAATTCCCTCAAAATAAAATATTTAGGTGGCGACACTGTATCTGGCAAAGCAGTCCATGTTTGACACTTCTTTCTAAAAATCAGTTTTTCAAAACGATTTGCCGGATTTGAATTCTTTGATGATTCATCGGTCTTGCATTGCACTCTGCGAGATTAGATACAAGACCGTGACATTGAGTCTGAACTGTAGTAAGCCCAATGAACAAAACGGGATTCCCTCCCGGGACGTTCGGGGACATCTACAGTCACTGAAAGTCTTTAACATTGATGATGTAATGGCACTTACAAGTGTCACTGAAGTGTCACTAAGTCTTTTTTTAATGGCGCTTGATAGTGTCACAAATAGTGTTTACGATGACATCAAAGTGTCATCGAAAGTTTCTAACTATGATGGTATAGTGACACTTGTAAATGTCACTGAGGTGTCACTAGTATCTACCGTGACATGGGTATAAATAAAACTTGTTTAAAATGTCACAAGACTAAAAAATATCATTAAAAGAATAATTTTGTAACACTTTCAAATGTCACAAAACTAAAAAAAATGTTGTAATAACTGCTGCTACTTCTTCTCACAATGATGCTTTTTTGTTTTTGTTTTTGATAAGTTCTTTGTCACGATGATGCCGCACTTGTTATATAGCTCCTGGGTCATCTTCATCTACATCTACATATTCAATTTTCATAATGATAATGTCGGAATGTGCATGTATCTTTGTACAATAATACTGATATTATAATTTGAAATGTGAATTTTATTAAATAACTATTAATGGTTAATTATTTATTTATTTATTTATTTTTATAGATTTCTTTTGTATGGGTTATTGTGGATATTTATTTTGTATACGAAGAGCATTTGTTCTGTATATGAAAAAATATTTATTTTTGTACAATCCTCTGTTTTGAAAATTTAGTGTTTTTTATGTAATATTTAATTTAGATAGATTATACCTGGTTGGTATGGATTTATATGATATTTGGAATATGATGTTACAAGTTAAAATTTTTGGGTAGTTGATAATGAAATGATTATTATTGATAATGAATTTAATTATAATTGATAGATGTATTATTTTGTATATGTACAGGTTATAGGTTGCATTGATAATAGAATGCATATAATTTAGAAATTAATGAAAAATATTCAATTTTGTGCATTTTAAAAAAATTAATAAATAGAGCTTTTGGCAATTAAACATTTAGTAGTCGAAAAACAAAAGGGAACTTGTTGATGACTAAATAGGTAGTAGCTAAAAAAATGAAAATTTTTAGCGACTAAAAAATTAGTAGCTAAAAAGGAGCACATGGTTTTAGCGACAAAAAAATTAGTAGCCAAAAAAGAGTGTCACGTTTTTAGTGACTAAATAATTGGTAACCAAAAAGAAACCAACGGTTTTTGGCGACTAAACATTCAGTAGCAAAAACAGAAATGAAGTTTTTCATGACTAAAAAATTGATAGCTAAAAAACTGAAGATGAAAAGTATTTTCTTTTTGGCGACTAAATATTTAGTAGCGGAAAAACAAAGACTTTAGGCGACTGGACTTTTAGTCACCGATTGGCGACTTTCGGCAATTAAAAAAAAATTAATTGTCAATACCTTTTCCGACAATCATCTAGCGACAAAACTGACGACCAAAAAATTTATTCGCCAAAAGTGTAATTTGTTACGGTGAGTTTTTGTTCCTTGGATGACTATTTCTAGCCTAATTCTTATTCATATTTTTTAAATTTTGACTTATTTTTTATTCTGTTTTATTCATGGAGAGTATGACTAAACCCAAGTATAACTTTGAATAACATCTGTTTGGCAGAATAGTAAATTTGAAACTTGACATGTCACCATAATCCATACATTTAACATTTTTTACTTTTAGTTTAAAAATAAAAAAATATGTCTCCATTATTTTTCAGTAAAAAATGTAAGTTTAAATAAAAGGAGTGGAGATATTTTTGAAAATTTTTACTTCATGTTTAAATTTTATAAAAGTAAAAAATAAGAACTAAATATAACATTTTGATTGTTGGGGCTTGTATAGTAATTAGCACATGACTAAAATTAAAGTGTTATATTTTTGGAATTAGGTTAAAAGTTAAATTTTTGATTTTTTTAATTTTTTTTTAAAAAATATATAAAAAAATATAGAGGTGATATAACTAAAAAAAATTAAAAACCAAAAAATTGATTTTAACCTCTTGCCAAAAGAGGCCAAAACATAAGTAATGTTTACCATTCAACGTGCCATGTGTATTAAATAAAAACCATAACAAAATAAAATAATAAATAAACAAAAAGTTATAATCAAATTAGAGCAATAATTTTAGATTTCGTTAGACATTGACTTTTTTAGCCAACTTTTTTATGTTGGAACTTTTTTAGTCTCGTTTAGTTTTTGTTTTGAGATTTTTTTTAATTTTTACAAGAAAAAAAGTATAATAATTATGGGTAAAAAGTAATATTTTGTCTTATTAATTTATATATTTTATTTTATTTTTTTGTATTTTTTTAATCCCACCGAAAAAACCAAACGAGGACTTAATATATTGAGGGAAGGCTATTAGTAGTGTTGACTTCTTTTTTTTGTTTTTTCCTACACAGTTCTAGAAATTGTTTGTTTTAGTTTACTGTGTGCTAATTCAATTGGAAAGTTTGAAACTCAATTCCCCCTCTAAAAATACTCCTATATTAAGAACTTTAATAAAAAAATATGCAGAGAAAGACAAGTTTCAAATCCATAATGGGTTATTTTGAAAAAATGATTAAAAGTTATCTTTAAATTTTTAATTTATTTTAAGTCATATCATCTCTTATATTTTATATATATATATATATATAAAATTAAAAAAACTAATTTTTAACAATCTTCTAAAAAAAAACTTAATGTAAATTCTAAAAGTCAACCGCATGCAGTGTGCCAGAGGGTTGGTTGCCAATTATGAATTAACTAAACTATAGTTTAATTGTAATCTACATTGTCCCATTTTTCAACATTTTTTTTTTTTTTTTTGTTTTGATACTTCTCTTCTTAAATAGTTAAATATTAATCAGTTAACTTTGACCCGACTATAAAATTTAAAAAGTATATGACTATTGCAATTAGAAGTCTGAAATTACTTTGGTTTGGAAAGGGTACACTTTCAATTCAACCAGGATGAATGGGACTGTACCTAAAAAGGATTCAACCATAAAAAAAGAGGTTCAACTTTTTTCATATTCACATTTCACTGTGTGAGAATTCAAGGAATGTGAGATATATAACTAGTTCTGTTTTGATAATTTAAATTATTTATTTTGTAAAAATTTTAATATATATTATTTATAAAAATTAATTTAATCTAATAATAATATTTTTATTTTATTGAATTTATTTTTTAAAAAATAGATAGCAAATAAATATTTAAAATAGATCATTTATTTTTTTAAAAATAAATTTAATAAAATAAAAATATTACGATAATCAAATTCACCTAACATTTTTCATAAATAATATATGATATTATAAAATAGACTGTTCAAATCATTGAAATAAGATTAGTAATTGATCCTAGAAATTTTTCAAAATCTCACATATTAAGATGTGAATAGGAGATAAGCTTACAAAAAAAAGTAGTTACAAAATAAGTTTTAATTTTCATGAAATAAAAAAAAAAATTATTATTTAATGATCACAATAAAGCAGACAAGTAGCAATGGGTTGGACTTGGACACAGAATTGAAAGTTTTGGCACATTCGACGGGTCTTTTTTCCGCAGAGAGAGAGAACTCTCATGGACTCTTTCAGCTCTATATGTCTCTCGTTAAAACCTCCAAAACCCTAATCACTCCAACAATCTGGTTTCGATCTTCATTCTTTTCAATTCAAATTTCATTTCACTCATCTCTGAAATTCACTCTATCTGAAATTCTCAAACTATATATATACACATACGAATTTAAAGCAATGCCTGGTTCTGGAGGCTTCGCCGTGTCTCGAGCCCACGGCGGAGACCGATTCTACAACCCTCCGGCGATTCGGCGCCACCACCAGCAGTTGTTGCTGCAGCAGCAGCAGTTAAATTGGCAACACCGTCGGCTTCCGAGGCCGGTGAAGCCGCCGGTGGTGGCGGCGGTGGAGGCGGAGAATCGGACTGACTCGGACGATTCGATGACGACATTGTTGAAACCGCCTTCAGTCTCTTTGTTTTCCATTCCCAGACCGCTGACGAACGTGACTAACTTGGATCGTCTGGTGGAATCTGTTACTCCCTTCGTTCCCGCTCAGTACTTCTCCGAGGTATGGAAAGAATTAGGGGATTTCATTATAAAAGATGCTCGAAGCCCTCTGTTTGGTTGATGAGAAAATGCAGGACAAGTAAAGAAATTAAATTTGTGAATCTTTTGTAATTTTTATGGTCTTTGCCGCAACTGATCATAACTCAACGGTTTAAAAAATTTAGTACTTCTCCGAGGTATGGAAAGAATTAGGGGATTTCATTATAAAAGATGCTCGAAGCCCTCTGTTTGGTTGATGAGAAAATGCAGGACAAGTAAAGAAATTAAATTTGTGAATCTTTTGTAATTTTTATGGTCTTTGCCGCTGTGAGTTTGGTAACGAGGGAGAGAAAAAAGAGAGGGACTGAAAGTTGGTGTTATTGTATTATGTTTCAGTATAATTACAAGAGAGCAAGCTCCCTCTCTTTATAGAGAGGAGAGGGAGACAATTAGCATTGGATGCCTAAAGCTAAAGTGAAGTTCCCTTCTTTACATGGAGCCTTTACAGATGCAAGGTTGCCTTTACAGATGCAAGGATACAGCTATACATAGTGGGGGATATATTATATATATTATATGTATATTATATGTTAACAGCCGCAACTGATCATAACTCAACGGTTTAAAAAATTTGCATTTCTTAGCAGCCAAACGACAGTGATTGCAGATGCTTATAATTCGTCTTGTAATTTCTTATACAGTAGCTGTTTACTGATGGAATTTTGAAGTTGCAGGCGAATGTAATGGGTTGGAGGAGTCGGGAATCTGAGTTGCACCCATACTATTGCCTTGAAGATCTTTGGGAATCTTTCAGTGAGTGGAGTGTATATGGAGTGGGAGTGCCTTTGTTGTTGAATGGGAAAGACCGAATTATACAGTATTATGTTCCATTTTTGTCAGGTATACAGTTGTATGTAGACTCGCTGAAGTCCCCTTCGAGGCTTAGGTGAGCCTCTTTACATTCTCATTGCTTATATGTTACTTCTTGTGTTTAATTTGTTAGTCATGTTTGATTTAGTTGTTTGTTTCACTTCCCTTTTATTGTGGTCGATTGCGTTCAAATTATACTTGTTTTGGTGTTAAAGACTAGCTTTTTATTGCTGATCAGTGTTTATTGATGCTATGTTTTTGCTAATCATTGTTGTAGTAGCTTTGTGTCTTTTTGTCTCCATGCAGCAAGATGTTTTGCTGTTTTGCTTAATGTAATTCATTTTGCGGCACCTTCTCATTTGGATTTCAACTGCAATATGAAGAATGAAACATAGGCGTCACCGAGCTTTGGTGCTTGTTTTGGTGTGTATGTGATAACAGGTTGATTTTACCAAGATTGGTGAGAGGGTCTCATGGATCAGATTGGCGAGAGGGTCTGCTAGCGAGTATCCAATTTGATGCTTGAGTTATTAGTTGCTGAGTGAGAGGATCGTGTAAAGTATTGCGGGACCCACCATTTTACATTAATCCAACCTTATCGATCAGTGTGATATACAGTACAGTTGGGAAATTACAAATGATTGTGTAAAGTTTTACTGTCATCACTTGCAAAAGGGCATTGGATGCGTGGCTCATAATAAATGTGAGTTCACAATTAAGTTTTAGCTCTTTATTTTACTAAACACGAGATAACAAAAAGTGGGAAGAAAGGGCTACTGGAAGATCGCAATATTGGGTCCAGGTGGGTTATAAGACTTGTATTGTTTTAAGCAAATCAACAGTTGGTTATACTAATGCAAGATAGTGAAAAAGGCGGGAAATCCAGCCGTAGCAGTCCTAAAATTTCCAAACTACACTGTAAAAAGCGAGGAAATAGTGATTTCATGTATTTGAGTCGGTCTTTTGTTCATACAAGTTCCTATCAACTATAATCTTGCATGGATTTTGTTACAATTTTGGAGTAAATAGGAGGATATCTATGCCACTAATCCAAAATACTTAATTGATTTTGGATTGGTGGATGCCAGGGAAAACAATATCTTATCTATGTCTAGATATACTAATTTTTTCACATCAGATAAATGAGATGTCTAATCTGTCATGTGATGTCCAATAAGGAAATTTGCCCATGGTCAGATTAAAGTAAGAAAAGTCACACATTATGAAAGCATAAGTTCTATCAAGGTTGTGTTCACTTCTTTTCAACATTTAATTGTCTATACCTCTGGCTTCAAGCATGCTCAACGCATAATCCTATACGGCTATAATCCTATTCATCATGTTTTGTGTTTGACATGTACTTGACCATTTTGAGTTGTAACATAGGCATCTATGCATACTCATTTGCAGACAATTCCACTATTCTATGCGCTAAAAGATATTAGGTGTGCATGTGTACACACACACAAACACAAACTTTCAAATAGACATGCATACACGTAACGTAAATATGATATTTGCATAAATAACTCAAATATCATATACATAAGTCAGAACAAAACAAAGAAAGAAAACTACTTAGAAATGGATGTTTGAATCTATGTTTTATGTCAATGGCTGCAGTTTTAGGACAGTAGTAAAGTATCGTGCATTGAAGAAGAACATTCCATATAAGTTTTTGATAAGCACTGGAATGGCAATTATGTTGGAAATAAAATGTGAATTTATTTATTTTTTATTATTTTTAATTTTTTAAAAAATAATTGATTACTGTAATGAAACATCTCAAGAAAAAAAATGAGAATTAACATGAATGGCCAAGGTAGAATTCCAATGAGTTTGACTTATTTTGGTTAGTATAAGGTGCAATTAGAATAAGACATTGAAAGACACGAGTTATGTTGTTTATGTGAGCTCAATAACTGAGGTGTGTACATGGGACTCTCACAGCTAGTCCCTTGTGTAACCTCCTTCAGGTTGGAATGAGCTGGAATGCGTGTGTTGTAGCCTTGAGTTAATGCTTTTGGATAGTTTGCTTTAGTTGGCAGTAGTGGTTGGTTTCATCTGGTATTAATACAGACATATAGAATTTCTTCTCTATTCTCCATGTATAAGCTTTTATTGCACATAATGATATATTGCTCATGTGGACAAATGTGTATTACAATATTCTGATTACGTTCCAAGCCATACAGGTGGTTTTCATTGAGCTGGCCGTTGTTTTCATGCTGAGAAACCTGTGTTATCTTAGGAACTAAATGCTTTGTGTCCAAAGTGGAAAACTTTCCATTTTAAGTAATTTGTGTGTTAATTGAAGTAGAATATTTTATGCATTTTTTTGGTACTAATGTTATATTGTAACTTCTAGGCAGTTCATATTAATATTTGGAAGCGTATTGTAATATTTTTTAGATTCATATTTGCATTCATGTTAACATGGTAAATGCGTGTTTTAGTTGCCTTTGTTACTGATGGTGTGACATATGTGTGTAGCTACTTTTCTCTTTGTGCTTTGGCATTAACATTCTTAGTAATCTTTTGTAGCTTATTTTTCTTTTTTCAGAGAAACATTACGTTGAGTATGACATGGGATTGTGTACTTTCTAATAGTTTGAAATACCCAAGGTTCATTTGACCTAATGTGACTATTTCTTCTAGTACTAGGGCTGAATAAAAGGTACTTACTTCTTTTCTTTGGTCAGTGGATGTTTACTGGCTGCTGTACACGTATGCTTGCATGAACAAGAATTCTTATGCATAAATTTGTAAATTTTAGAAACAGGAGGGAAGGGCATTGCTGTTTATTTATCACGCCACATCTAAAAATATGAAGCTTCCAAAAGCAATTACTTTTCTGAACTCTATAATATGTAGTCTTTTGATGCTGCATAAAATTTTATAGGTCTTTTGGAATTTACTTTGTCACCATAGTTTGAGCCTAGCGTTGTTTGGATTACTATATTAGCAAAAGCACTTTGACATTAAAAGTTCTAATTAGTTGGTATACTCTATATAAATTGGTAGGATTATGTCAATAGGATTATGTCAACATTAAAAATAATTAAAAAAAAAACTTGCTAAACATGCTTGTATCACAATTGTTGAGAATTGTTCTTTTTTCCTTTCTCCTTTTTGTTCTGTGTATATATATGTATATCTATATTTTTTGATAAAGATCAGTGGCCAGTTCTCTTTATTATTGTGTGAATGATCAACTTTTTTAATCCTACTCTTGTGGAATATCTGAGTGCATTAGCGTCCGGATTCAATTTTTGTGTTCAGTTCCTTCACAAGACGTTGTAAGATATATGATTGTTATTTGTCAGGAGACCTGGTGAGGAGAGTGATGCCGAGTCTTCAAGGGAGACTAGTAGTGGTGGTAGCAGTGACTGTGAAGCAGATAGACGGGCCAAATATGTTGTAGATGGGTCGCGGAGTCAGCAGAACCTCATGAACTTGAACTCTCAGAGAATGAACAGAATCTCATTAAGGGATAAATCTCTCATGAGCTCATCCAGTGATGAAGCAGAGATCTGCAATTCACCTGGGATGCTCTTATTTGAGTATTTGGAGCAAGAACAACCATATAATCGCAAACCTCTAATTGATAAGGCAAGTTCACTTCTTGGAGATTACTGCATCCAGGCTGACGTTCATTTTCAATCTCTTTTTTTTTTTTTCTCTTGTCCAGACATGGGAACTCATGGCACTTTCCCCTATCATTTCCACAGGTTTCAATTCTTGTGTCTCAGTTTGAAGATCTCAGGTTGTACAGGAGCTGTGATTTACTGCCTACAAGTTGGATTTCCGTGGCTTGGTATGTTATTCAGCATGATTCGAAGTTAGTTCTGTCAGAGTTTAGAATTTCATTTGACTTGTTGTCATGGCCATTTCCTTTTTTGGTAAATAATGCAGGTATCCGATATATAGGATTCCTATGGGCCCAACACTACGGGATCTGGATGCATCTTTCTTAACCTTCCATTCTTTGTCAACACACTCTAGAAGTCTCTCTCTCTCTCTCTCTCTCTCAAAAGTTTCATTACCATAATCTGTTGTGGATTTCGTAGTCATATTTATTGTTCTCTTACAGGCAACAGTCATCTGTGGCTTCATGGTGCAAGTGGTAGGAAGGTACATGGTGGTGTTGATTCTTCTTCAAAGATTTCTCTGCCAGTCTTTGGCCTCGCTTGTTACAAGTTAGTAGGTTCAATTTTGACTCCAAGTGGACCCCACGAGTGCCAGCAAGAAAATTCTCTGTTGCATGCTGCTGACAATTGGCTCCGCCATTTGCAAGTTGTTCTTCCTGATTACCAGTTTTTCCGTTCTCACTATGCACCATGGAGATGATGGTGGTGATGAAGTGCCTTTCAATACCTTTGTTTCTCTTCCAGATGGGGCAGAAATATAAGATCAGTTTTGGGATGAACAGTGTCAAAGCGGGCTTGCAAAGAAAACCTGACCCTCTTTGTCCACACAGATTGTTTGATTCTTGTGTAGTGTTGCTTAGGTTCTCTTAAAGTGTAGAGTTCACAGGATTAGGGAAAAAATGTTTGATTTTAGGGCTGCTATGCCAGTTGTTTTGTTGTTCCAAGTCATGGCCTAAGGCTGCAATCATCAACCTGAAAATTCATATGGCTTCTTTACTTGTTTTGTTGTGTAGGAGTGACTGAAGCTGTTGATGATCTAGATATATTGGTAGAACCACCAAATCTGTTTAGTTTAATGTTCAGAGACTCTCGACAACTCTCTGTGATAGTGATGAAAATTTGTACACTCTTGTTTGCACATACACACCTATACAAGTAGATTTTAAAGCAGGGCCCTTAGTCCAGAAATCTTTATAAATTTTGATGGTACTGAATTTGCATGATTGTTTCCAAATGTGATAATTGTTTTGCGTTATTGTTTCTTCACGCATATGGCCTTTGGTACATTGGTCTGGTGGATATTATGGATTGATGATATATGCAGGTTTTGGGTGGAGAAAACTACTCATCTGGTTTTTGTTGCCAGTGGCGGATGCTCAAGTGAACTCACTGAACTGAAAATCTTGTGAATATGCTGAGTCCAGTGGTGCATTTGGTTCCTGACTTTGTTTTCATGATTGAATCTTATATTTTATTTGTTATTATTTCTGTTCTCTACTGTATATAGGAATGTCTGTGGGTTATGCAAACGAAAAAAGTATTTTAGTTTTTATTTTTTGATTATTAATTTTTGGATTCTAGTAGTGGATTAAAGTTTGTAAAGCTAAGGTAGCAACTAGCAACCTTACATGAAAAATGGTGATGATTTTTTTTCTTTTTTTAAAAAAAAACAGGGGACGTGTTAGGGTATTTAAGAACATAATAGATATATTTACTTAAATTGCATTTGGATTAGGAATTTGTAGAGAGAATGAAAAAGGAAAGAGCAAAATGTTTTAAAAAATTTAGTTTTTTTTTTTTCTTTTTAATATTTAAAATAAATTTTTATATAAATTCAAAATTTAAATATAAATAAGACATAAGAAATTGATGAAAGTTTAATTGATGAATGAGATAAATTATTGCAGTTTTATTAGGTTTAAATTTTGTCGTTACATGATGCAATTTATCTTTTTTATTCTCACCAATTGATTATATATATATATATATATAAAAAAAACTGTAGTTACCTCCTAGAAAAGTCGTTATTGTTAAAATAATTTTATGAGGCATTATATTATTATATGTTTTTTTTTTTTTCAAAAAAAGATATGGAAAGGTGAGTTATAAAATCGCGCTTTCCTTCTTTTTATAAATGCCTTTTTGATTGGCTGGTCATGAATGTAGAGTGACAGACGCGTTGGGTATACCTTCTTAATCGAGCGTGGGACCTAATTGTGGGACCTAATTGATTTATTAAAAGAGTTTGATTTAGTTTAATATTAGTTATAATATATTTTTATATATTATATCTAATTTGTGGAGACCCAATCAAATTTGAAAACAATTAAGATTTTGATAAAAACCTAGATTCACAATATATATATATATATATATGTATGTATATATTATGTTCATCGGATGCATTAAGAGGGCTGCAGCAGAATACACTTTAGTTGGTGTGATAGTGCTTGAGTTGACCAAGCAATTCGGTGGACTTTGTTTTGTGGTGCATCAATTTGTTTGATCATTATTTGGTGGATTGATTTGGTTCGTTATTTTGGATCTTTTACAATTTTGGTTCTGAAAATTTTGGTTCATCTATTTGGTGAAATCTTTCCTCTTTGTTTATTTGTGATTATTTGAAATTCACCTAAGGGTGATTTTGTGAGACCATTAGTGTCTCGTTTGTAATCGTTTGGAACTTATTTGGTTGATAGTTGAATTGGATTTCGATCCCGTGGACGTACCTTACATTGAGGGAACCACGTAAAAATTCTTGTGTTGCTCTTGATTTAATTTTTTTGCATTAATTCTTATTCCCATTGATTGATTTACTTGTGGGAAATCATCAATTTTCTCTAACAACTGGTATCAGAGCTTACGGTCTATTTGAGTTTATTTATTTGTGTAAATCAATGGAGGGGAATGTGGGTCGTATGTCTAACTTCAATGGAAGCAACTGGATAACTTGGAAAACTAAAATGGAGGACCTATTATTTTGTAAAGATTTGTATGGACCCATTGAAGGTGATAGTGGCAAACCCGAGTATGAAAGATGATGAATGGAATAGGCTTAATCGAAAAGCCGTTGGTGTTATTCGTCAATGGATTGATGACAGTGTGTTTCATCATGTTGCTACTGAAACTTTAGCACATGATTTATGGAAAAAATTAGAGAGCCTTTATGATAGAAAATCAGCCACAAATAAAGCCTTTCTGTTTCGTAAGTTGGTTAATTTAAAATATAAAGAGGGAAACCCTATTCCGGAACATCTGAATGAAATAAAGAGTATTGTTAACCAACTTGCTTCTATGAAAATTATTTTTGATGATGAGTTGCAGGCTTGATGTTACTCAGTTCTTTGCCCGAAAGTTAGGAGACTTTGGTTGTGA